ATGATATATTTCAGGCATAATTTAAGTACATTTAAACATTTGTTTTTAGGTAAAAAATAAACAAGAATGGTTGTAACCCATTTTTTGTTTCAGGCATGCCCGTGAGCTTCAGACTCTTGCTTCGGAGAGAGCAGAACTCCAGCGCACCGTGGAGAAGCAAAGACTGGAGCTACAGAACAAAAAAGCTCAGATAGCAGCTATTACGGCACAAAATGAATCGGCTGTTGCTAGTGCCATTGCTCAGAAAGATGACATCATTAGCGCCAAACAGATCCAGGCTAATAGGTGAATAGTCTTGGAGGAATTTAATGTTACTAATGCTATCTTTTTAATGGTTTTTAAAAAATTGCATTGACATTTATTGGAATTTGAATAAAATGTTTGAGCCTTTTCTCCTTTTTTGATCTAAGGTTTTGGGGCTTTTTACAGGTTGGAGGCAGAGCTGGTCAGAACAAGGGAAGAACTAAGCACAATCAAGGAGAGAGCCGCAAGAGAATTGGCGCAGCTGGCTCAAAAGTGCGCTACTTTTCAAGAAACTCAAAAGAAGTGGGTGGAAAGGAGGCTAGTTTTAGCCCTATGCTTTTTATAAAATAATAACCCTTGTTCTTGTGATTGAGAAATGGTTAAATTTGATCTGTTGGAAATTGATGATTTAGAGAAAAGGTTATTACATGTAGTAATTATCTGTCTGTCTTTTTATTTTATATTATATTCATTTATTTATTGCCTTTGGACAATTTTATATATATTTATATATATATATATATAGGATGCCTGTTAACTTTTCATGAAGTAATCTTATTAAAAAGATATGGACATCAAAACTGACCTACCAATATTAATATTGTAATTTGCAGGTTAACATTACGACACGAAGAATTACGCAGTTCCCTTACAAATCTCCAGATATCAGAAAGTGAATTCACTCGGCTTCGACGCACCCCAGCACAGCAGCTTACCCTCCAACAGTTTACAGCAGTAAGAAAATCTCTTAATCATTGACAATACCTATGTTAAATAGTTTGCAGCTCAACTGCTCCACTTTAAAAATTTAACCAGATAATCAGTTATTTGATGACTTGGGTGTCAGAATCAAACTTGGCATTAAAGATAGTATTGTCTTTTGAACCAATATTCCCTACAGCCTTATTTTACACAAAGGAAAATATGACTGGCAGAAATGAAATACCTACTTTGTGAGGGGATCATGGGATATGAATTGGCTTTATACATGGTAAATCAGCTTGTGAAATGGCCTACTGTTAGTTCTGATTGGCAACTCTTGAAATGGGATTCAGATTTACTCACATTCACACTTACATTTGTCATGATTGATGTGTAAACTTGCAAATTTACACACAGTATCTTTACACAGCTTTAGCAGTTAGGAAAAATGCCTCATTAATGACATGTTCCTCCTGTCTCTTCACAGCTGCGGGTGTATGAACTAGTTTGGCCTTTGAAGATAAAGGTTAATGAATTAGAAACAGTCAAATCTTCCTTAGAGAGCTCCCTTGCAGCAAAGGACTTGGATCTAAAAGCAAGGAGCAATAAATGCCGAAAGCAACAAGAAGAGTTAGAAGAACTGCGCAGTAAGTCAGAGCACTATGCAAGTCAGCTCTTGAATATGAAAGAAGAGCAGAGGTCAGATGACTACAAGGCTCGCAACTATCATCGTGTTAAAAGCGAAAGGGACCAGTTAGAAGGAGAGAGGGAGGCTCTTACAAAGAAAGCAACAGAACTGGAACTACTGGTAGCAACACTGAAGAAAGATCGCAACTTATTAGAGGAACGGTTTGGTGAGCTTAAAGTAAAGACCAGAAAACAAGAGCATGGTATAGATGAACAACAGGAACAATTAACTGATCTGAAAAGTAAGTTAGAAAGAACCAGTGAAGAACTCAGCTCAGCATGTAAAAATCTCAGGATGGAAAGAGACCGAAATGCTGACTTACATGAAAAGTATATTTCAATGAGGGGGGAAGTGACTTCACTTGCAGAAAATTCTAATGATTATCAGCATGAAATAAGGGTATTACGAGAGAAATTGCAGTCAAGTAATTCTCATTGCAACAGTCTCCAAGAAGACATAAACCAGCTCACTCAGAAAAATGATTGCCTGTCAGTAGAACTGGAGAAATATAAAGTAAGATATGAAAAAGAGGTGGACAAACTTGATACGGAAGTCAAAGAACTTAGGCAGAGCCTTAGTTCGTTGTCAAAGAGTCGTGATGTTCTTGCTGAGGAAAATGCAAAACTCCATCAGGATATAGAAAGTGCCAGGAAGTCACTGCAGGAAGACAAGTCCTCAAAAGACAGGGAAATTCTGGCAGTAAATGAAGAACTTAATAGAGTGAAACACATCCTTAAAGGCTATCAATCCCTGGAGGCAGAATATGAAAAGACCATCCGAACTGCAGCAACCCTCTCTGAAGAAGAAGCCAATCGTTTGTTGGACAGAATGCCCTCCGGAGTTGGTGTTGTAGGAAGCAGAGCTTTAGATCAGAGTATCCAGCTTACTAGGAGAGTGCTTGAGCTGGAGAGACAAAATACAGATGCTTGCACTACAATTCAGCAGTTGAGTAAAGCTCTAGATCAACTTAAGAACACAATAACCTCATACAAGTCTGCCCTGTCCTTGGCAGGACAACCATCAGCATCTCTCTTGCAGCGTATAGCATCACAAGAAGATCAGATCATATCCCTGCAAGATGCCCTTCAGCATAACTCATTATTAAAAGGTACTCTAGAAGAAGAAAATAAAACACTGATAAGGGAAGTTACTAAACTCAAACAAGAAGTAGAAAAAATGACCATTAATGCTGGGGAGATCAGTGCAATTAAGCAGCAGCTACAGCTCCTGCAACAGTCTATACCACAAGTACAACAGACTGCTCCATCAGCAAGTAGTCAAATTATTCATGACCACAGAAGAGTTGAACCTCCATCACCAGCTGAGTCTAAAAAGCCTCTTAATCCAGCAAAGGCTATAATTATAACCAAAGACAAAAGAACTAGAAGTTAGGGAGATTCTAAATCAATATTACTGTAGAAGGTTTTGAATTAGTGTTTTCCATCCAGCCTTCCTCTCTTTTGTATTCTTATTTTATCTCTTATGGTATGAACCTTATGAATTACTCTTGCACTTTTAATAGTATATTTATTGAAGATTTTAAAACTAATGAGACATTTTGTCATTATGTAATATACTTTTCACTGACAGAAGTTTTAATTTTGAACTTCCATTTTAGATGCTAGGATGTTTTATAAACTATTTATTTCATAGGTCTATCTTCTAGATAGAAATTTATATTTTTATAAAGTGTATTTTATATTTTATCACATACTGTGTTTTATGCCAGGAAGTTTCACATACAAAATTTCAAGACAAATTTATTGTATGTCATTTACCTTCTGAACGTAGTAGACCAAATTCATTAGGGAAGAGCTGTAATGATGACTTTAGTAGGTTCTCAAAAATGCATAATCCATATCCCCCCTCCACACGCACGCACGCACGCACACTTTTTCACTCACTCCCGTGTTCATCGTTGTGGCCCTTACCTTGGACCTCAGCCCTCGCCTCTCCTATTTTTTTACAGGGTCTTTTCTTCTCCCCCTTTCCTTTTCCTTCTCTTCTTCACCCCTTTCTTCTTTCCTCTTATCCAAATCGTTAACTGTTATTTACTCTTTTTGCCACAATACTTTACCATAATGCTGTGACCTTTGATGTCTGGTAAATTTGTGTTTTTACCATTGGGTATTTTTGAAATCCACAAACATTGCCTTACTGAACCAAAAACGTTCTTACCTGACCTTAGATGCTGATGTCGCAGAAAAATTCCAATAAATAAATAAATCCATATAACCTGAATGAATAACAGTCCTAGCATGCTGTCTATGCATAGCTAGAGGGTTCTTGGACCAGATTTTTCTCATATCTCCCAAGGCAGTGATTATCTACAGTTTAAAACTTAATAATATTAAAAGTTTGTAAAACACTATCAAATGTGGTCTAATACCAGCCTAAACAAACCCAAGGAGTGTTCACTGTAAAGCAACCAAAATGGTGGGCTAAGTGGCCAGAGCTGTCTCCAGGACCAAGACTCTATCTGACTAGTAGAAAAAAGGCATACATGTCTGAATATTAGGAAGGAATCTAACCAGTTCAAGCAGTTTTAGCCATTTCCTTAGTTTCTGCTCAAGAAACAGATCCTTTATTTTGTTGAAGATGGACATATATTTTCATTATTTTATATGTATTTGTATGAAAACATTGTATCTGAGGTATGTTTGACATAGTATGAGATTAACAATGGGAAAATGAAAATTTGGTGAATAAAAAATAAATTAATAAATAAAAATAGAATATTAAAATAAAAATAAAATAAAATCTATTTATTTACAAATAAACAGTAATGGGCCATTAGATGAAGTGATACAGGAAGGGTCTATATTTTCTTGTTTCATATCTTCATTAACTGATATCTGTATCTATAAATATAGTATATTATCATCTCACCCCCTTTCTTTCTATCCCCCTGTGTCTCAGTCTATCTGACTACCTATCTGTCTGTCTGCTTGTCTGTCTTAGATCTTCCCCACTCCCTCCCCTTCCTCTCTTATACAAAAACAGTAATAATGCTAAGATAAAATAGAATTAAGAAAGGTTTTTGGAAAATAAAAAATTCTATAACTTATTTAAAAATATTTATTGAACAGAAACCTATTTTTGTTGTTGATTCTCAATAAATAACAAATTATGGGGAAATGAAGGAATGCATGTTTACTTAATAAATATCACTAAACTTAAATATACATTAAATTTTGACTGGTTACAACAATAAACAGAAAAATTAAGAAATTCTTTTAAAACTTCTAAATACTGTTACAGTCAATTAAACAATCACTTTAAATGAAGTACAGATTCTACGTACATACTGGCAAAGGCTTAATAACGTGTCAATTGGCATAAAGGGGTAACCAAATTCTATAATGTATTAGGTCATCTGGTCACATGTAAAATCTAAGTATCACATCAATCACTTGTTGAAGGAGAAGAATGAGGAAATGGAGGAGAGGAAGGAGGAGAAATAGAAAGACAGTTTTATAAAAGATCATCATTTTCAGGATTGTAAAGTTTGTGGAATTTGGCACTTGATCTCACGGGTCTGTTCCAAGGAGGGGTCAAACAATTTTTTTTATTGTTTTTTCTTCTTAACTCTTCTTGAACTTTATTTCTGGAAGAACTTTCTTTCTGCTCCTCCTTTTTGCTGAGCGATGCGTCCTTATCTCTTTTTGATCTTTTCTTCAGACTTTCGCTTCTGTTCTCGACTGGCGTGTTATGTTCACTTTTCTTGGCGTTTTCAGGATTGTCTTTTTCTTTATTCTCATCTGTGCCATCGCCTCTCTGTCTTTTTTTGTTTTTCTTTTCTGTATCTCTTTTAGAATACTCATCATTTTCATTTATTAGGTCTAAGACACTCTCAACATCAAGACCTGGCAATGATTCATTTTCTGTTGCTTTAGATTTATTCTTTTTGTGTTTTTTCCTTTTATCCAAGTCTGAGCAGTCATAGTGGCCATTTACCTGAGAAACCTCTGGTGTTGCTTTGATACTTGTATTTCCATTACACTTTTCATCAATGTCTTTGCTGGTACTAGTTTCCAAATACTCTTTCTTTTTCCTCTTTGTGTTTAGTGACCTGATGTCAATATCTTCATTTTTTCTTTTCTTTTTCTGCGAGGTAATCCCATCCACAGACTCATTTTCTGCTTTCGAGATGGAACAGCCTTCAATTTCGATATCTGGGAAGGGTAAAAGATCACATGTAATAAAGTCGTCTTTTTCCTTTTTGTGCTTTTTCTTTTCTCGTTTTGTGGGAAGAGACAAGCCATCATCAACTTTTTGTCCTATATTGTTCGTGGACTTGTGTTTTTTATCAACTTCAATATCAAAAACATCAACTTGGAGCTTTTCTTGAAGTTTCTTCTTTTTGGATTTTTTCTTTTCTTGGTTTTCAGAGACATCTAGATGCACAACTTCCTTAGTTTCTTCTTTGGATTCAAGGCACTTTTTCTTATTAACATGATCCTCTGACTTATTACTCTCTTTTTCTTCCTTTTTATTCTTATTTCTGGAGCTTTTTCTAGTATTTATTTTTTCCCTGATAGAATCTTCAGGTTCCAAATTGTCGAAATCAGGAATTTCCAGTTCATCTGAATCTATTATGGAGCACTTAAGTATAGATGCCTTTGAAGTGTCATTTTTGGTTTTTGTTTTATGGGACTTTGATTTAGATGAACTGTTCTCTGAAACAAGAACCTCATTCTCTTTGTCTAAATCAGGGAAAGGAAGATCGATACATAAATCTAACCAATATTTATCACAGTCTTCTTCGGTCTCTGTTTCGTCACTTTTATGTTTTTTCTTTGATTTTGAGCTGTGGGAGACCAAGTTTGCTTGCTCTGTCTTTTCACTGACCTTATCTGAAGTCTTTTCTTTCCTCTTCTTTTCTTTTCCCTTTTTGCTTTTCTTTGACGTTTCATATATACTACCATCAACTTCATCTGAATTTTGAATGCCATTTACTTGCATTGTTGGTAATATTGTGATTTCAGGCTTCTTTTCCTTTTTCTTCTTTTTAGATTTAAATGTCTCAACATCGTTTGTAAATAACTCACTGACCACATCTTCAGTTGCTTCTAGTGCACAATACTTTTTCTTTTGCTTACCTCTCTGACTTTCATCAAGAGCCGTGACAAATGAATCGACGTCTGTATTTCCCACCTCATTTGTCACTGAATCCATCCCTTGATTTTTGTGCGCATCAACTGTTGCAGATACATCACTATTTGCTGTAGTTTTGCCCTTCTTTTGATTTTTCTTGGCATTCTGGTCACATCTGTCCCGGACATCTGTGGTTTCTGCAGCAGAGGAATTTCCCGGCAATAGATTTGAATTACTAATATCTATCCTTAATTTGGATGTACTGGAACTCTGTGATTCAGAATCGTCATTTGTATCAACACTCTGAAGAGATTCCCTGGACAATCTGTCTGCTACAGAGTCTGCTGTGACAAATGACTCATCTGAATGATGGTCACTTTTTACAGGTCTCTCACATAGAACATCTAGTATTTCTTGTTCTTTGTTATCCACCAAGGTGATGTTAGATATAGTGCTAGTATTGCGAACTGTGACATCCCCTCTTTGGTTTTGGGTCAGTGAAGGATGCAAATCATTCAGTTCTTTACCATGACTGCTTCTCTGTTTCTCCTTGCAAGTCAATGATGCGTATTCCATTTCTTCCTGTACTGAGCCCTTTGATGAATTTAATGGAAGTACCTCTAAAATATCCTTTTCTCTATCTTTTCTGCCTATTTTTTCCGATTCTGCAACAGTGGGTGAAAAGTCTTGTAGAGCTGTTAGTGAACTATATATGCTGAGAGATGCCTGATCTTGCTCACTTTCACCACTTGTATTAGACACAAAACTGCCCCCTGATGCACTGCCACAACTTCTACTTGATCTGTTAAAGCTTTTAAAATTTGGTGGACTAGTTACAACTAATTCTTGACTTGGCCCTATTACTTCTTCACTATCACTAGTTTCTTCATTAGAAGCCGCTGCTGTGGGTGTATCGAGACAGTTTGAATGAATAATTTCCTCCACAGCACATTTAGGAGATGCAAACTTGTCATTATCAATGTCACTGAACTCAACTGTAGTACCGTGAACAACCGATGTAGGATTGCCTACTGTAACAGATTCTTGTTTTACAGAATCAAATACTTCTAACGTACTAGGAGATGTTGCTTCTTGTTCAATATCCTCATACTGTACCTCAAAGATTTTATATTCTTTTTCTGATAATGGCGATGTCAGTTCTGTTTTACAGAATGTAGTGAAGTCCGTAGTATCTGTAACATCTGCTGAGTAAACAAGCTCTTGGGCATTTTGGCTGAAAGGCATGGGTTCCTGCTGTCCCTGGGTCAGGGAGAAAGGTTCACTGTTTTCACTATACTGTGTGCCAGTATCCTCGCATTCTACTTTAACATAATTCTTTCCAGCACCTAAGCCACAGCCATTTGGATTAGGAAAATCTGTCACCTGTGATGTTGAGTCTACAACAGACTGGGAAAGAATTTCTTGACTTTGGGTTTCTTGGATTATGCATTTCCCTTCATAGCCATCAAGTGGATTGCTGTTTGTTTCTGTTAAGGTTTCATCAACAAGACAGTTGTTTTGCTCAGAAGCAGCCTGGCTGTCCAGCACTAATACAGCAGGGTTAATGTGTGTTGGGAGGGCAGTGTAACAAAAATATACACTATCATTTCCTGTATTGGCCAGAGAACTTTCGTTCTGACCTTCAGAACTCCCACCTTTGTATCCACTAGACCTGTCCTCTCTTGGTCTCTGACCACAAGGTAAGTAATCTTCTGCTGTGGGTGTATCGAGACAGTTTGAATGAATAATTTCCTCCACAGCACATTTAGGAGATGCAAACTTGTCATTATCAATGTCACTGAACTCAACTGTAGTACCATGAACAACCGATGTAGGATTGCCTACTGTAACAGATTCTTGTTTTACAGAATCAAATACTTCTAACGTACTAGGAGATGTTGCTTCTTGTTCAATATCCTCATACTGTACCTCAAAGATTTTATATTCTTTTTCTGATAATGGCGATGTCAGTTCTGTTTTACAGAATGTAGTGAAGTCCGTAGTATCTGTAACATCTGCTGAGTAAACAAGCTCTTGGGCATTTTGGCTGAAAGGCATGGGTTCCTGCTGTCCCTGGGTCAGGGAGAAAGGTTCACTGTTTTCACTATACTGTGTGCCAGTATCCTCGCATTCTACTTTAACATAATTCTTTCCAGCACCTAAGCCACAGCCATTTGGATTAGGAAAATCTGTCACCTGTGATGTTGAGTCTACAACAGACTGGGAAAGAATTTCTTGACTTTGGGTTTCTTGGATTATGCATTTCCCTTCATAGCCATCAAGTGGATTGCTGTTTGTTTCTGTTAAGGTTTCATCAACAAGACAGTTGTTTTGCTCAGAAGCAGCCTGGCTGTCCAGCACTAATACAGCAGGGTTAATGTGTGTTGGGAGGGCAGTGTAACAAAAATATACACTATCATTTCCTGTATTGGCCAGAGAACTTTCGTTCTGACCTTCAGAACTCCCACCTTTGTATCCACTAGACCTGTCCTCTCTTGGTCTCTGACCACAAGGTAAGTAATCTTCAGGCTCTGGACTTGAACACTCTGCTGTCTTGTCATGTGTCTTATCAACAATGTTGCTACTGCATACATCTGTAGAACTCCTCTTCTTATTTCTATATGAATGATTTACTTGCACACTGCCTTCACTTTTACTAGTCATACTTGTCATGGGGCTGTCTAAAGTATATGTTGTGTTCAAGGAGGAAGTGATACTTTTTCTGTTTAATACAGTTGAGTTTTTCACATTCGAATTACTAGTGATATTTGTTGCTTCTTCAGTGGTTTCATTGACAGTAACATACTCCTCTGCTGAGGAACTATTCAACTTAGAAACTTCAGTGTGATTATTAAAATCAGACCTTTCGTCATTAGAACAATCATCTGGATCTTCACTACTTATTTCATAGTCCTTTTGTTCTTCTTCTACATTTCTATGTTTCTCTTTTGCCTTTGACAACTTCAGTTTACTTTTCTCTTTCTCTCGTAAAGTGTCTCTCTCCTTGAGGGCTGGCAGCAATGCAGGACTTTCTCCAAGTGAAGTATCTAATATCTGTTTATTTCCAGGTCTTACTTGAGTACTGGTTAAAAAAAAATCTTCATGAAACGAGATGTCAGAGCTCAAGAAACTAGCTTCTCTCTTTCCTTCGTCTGGAGATGTTCTAAGATTACGAACAGATTTAATATTCCTTGTAGGTGGAGTAGACAGAGATGTTAATTTGCTGGCAACTGTAGACTTTACCTCTTTCACACGCTTGGGCTCTGCAGGTGGGGTGTGACCTTTGCGCTGACTCTTCTTGCTGTCTTCACCCGGAAAAGGTAAATCGTCAAGTGTTTTTAAAACAGATTTCTTCCTGGTTACTACTGGAGGCAGTTCGTCTTCTGAAAGCTGTATATCAGATACTGCATTTTTCTTTGTCTTTCTCTTTTTTGTGCTGGCTTCTTTTTCTCCTGTTTTCGTTGAAGAGCTGACCTCCACACTGTCAACCACCGTCTGAAAACTTGAAAAGAATGCTTGTATAACTATCCATATCTGTATGTGTATGTGTATTTGTGACGCAAAGTAAATGCTATTGATTAAAAGGTAATGAAGATGAGCCCCTTTTACAAAAAATACCCGTTCATGTTACTTATAAACTATATTTTTCTTATAATTATAATAAACTATCACATCCCACTGGGATTATCTTAAGTCAGAACTATAACTAAAACATTGCATATTTCTCCATATAATAAGACATGCTTGTATTAATAATACAGTATGATAAATGGGGAGGTAGAGAGAGGGAGAGAGAGAGGGGGGGAGTGTGTGAGAAAGAGAGAGAGAGAGAGAGAGAGAGAGAGAGAGAGAGAGAGAGAGAGAGAGAGAGAGAGAGAGAGAGAGAGAGAGAGAGAGAGAGAGAGACAAAGAGATAGAGAGAGACAGAGAGATAGAGAGAGACAGAGAGAGAGAGAAAGACAGAGAACTACACTTGTACTATATAACTGTTACTTCTGCAAAAGCTAGGTCCTTTTATGGTGAAATTTAACCCAATGTTGATGGGACTTCCTCTTGCTGAATTGAACCATGCCCTGGGGTTTGCACATGATCAGACACTTGAGCAAAAAAATAAAAACATTGGAAACTCATATTTACCCCACTTTACCACATGCACAATTTTCTGGTATCTGAGACTAAACCAAGGCTTAATCCTACATTTGAGGAGGATGTAGCTAATGAGCAGCCACAACCTGAGCCAAAAAAGTACAGATAGTCCCCTACTTAAGAATATTCTACTTATGAACATTCCATACATACAAACAAAATATTTTAAGCACTAAATAAAAAAAAAAAAATTGTTTGAAAGATGCTAGCAAAGTTCAAATTTCCCGGGTGTGAATATAGTTCAAGAGTCTGTTACTGTATAAGGTATGTCATACTTATTGGGATTTATTTACGGGTATTTTTAATGTAAACAAAACTTTAAAACAATGGGAAAAAAGGTAATGGAGACCCGACTTTCGACATACAAACAAATCAACTTACAAACAGCCTCTTGGTCCCCATTATGTTCTTAAGTTGGGGACTTACTGTAGTTTCTTTGGGCCACACAACCCAAGAGTTCGCTGAACATGAATGGCACATGTCCCTGCCATTTTGGGCCTGGCTTGTCATAGCAAACTTAGACACACACCATCAATACTGGGTTAAGTGAGCAAAACTGAAAAGAAAGAAAGAAAGAAAGAAAGAAAGAAAGAAAAGAAAACAAAAAAAAGAAAAAGAAAAAGAAAAAGAAAAAAGAAAGAAAGAAAGAAAGAAAGAAAAAAAGGGTACTTACTCTGATTTCTTCAAACTGTAGGCCAAGAACTTATCTATATATGTTTTTTCTGGATATAATGACTCCTTCAATTCATTACATAGCACTTTGTAGTTGGCTTTCTGGAGAGTTGATATTGCATTACGAACATAAGTTTGATCTGAAAAAAAGAAAAGAAAAGAAAAGAATTATTCATCATTAGAATTAGCCTAATTTCACTAAAAAATATAAAAAATCTGGATCCAGAGGCTTCACTGCCATCAAGTGGCCCAAAACACGGGCATGAAGCATACATGACACTCTGTGCCTTCCCTTTGCAATATTATTTTGTCTTTTTTGTATTTCATATGGCACTTGATAAAAATAATAAACAAAACTTTTCCAACTCACTACACAGTTAGATATTATCATAATTTTCATTATTTTAATTAAAGAGAAAAGGAAGATTCTTACATAGGAAACTTGAAAACAGTCTTATAACTTTACCTAGTTAGTGTATATGGTATTCATATGAGGTATATATATACACTGTAGGACTAGGAGTTGTGAGTGTGTTCCTATAATAACTTGACATTTTAATCATTGCAACAGAAAACAACATAAAAACTCACCTCCCTCTATCTCTCAGTCGTTAAAACAGGTAAAATTAAAATCTGCTTACTTATAATTTTTAAATTTCTGAAGGATAACCTGTCATTCCAATTAAAAGATACAATAGAATGCCTTATCATCAAGTAAGTAGACAAAACAATATAGCATTTACTTACTGTAACAAAATACATGAGCAGAATATATATGATGAAAGATGACCTGTGCTTTTTCTGGAGTCAGGGAGACAGGGACAGCCACCCAAACATAATATTTCCACAAAGGCGTTATACTCTTAGAAACTTGTCTCACAGATTTTCGACTTTTACGGCAATACGGGCACTTCCAGCATCTGCGAGTTCAGAAGAAAAGAGAGGGGAACAAGTTATTTCTGTAATTCCTAACTGAAATAACAATACATATGAAGATCCTAAAATTTCAAACCAAAAGCCACTTTACAGAAACACCAAAAACGAACCTTAGCCAGCATGAATAAAATTTACGGAGGATGTGTGTGAGAGTCTGCCACGGTTGCAATTTCCACTGCCACTCTTTGTACTCAAGCAAGTTTGTCAAAAGATTCAGAGCCCTCACCAGGGATTCCACTTGTATATCTACAAAAAAAAGAAAAAAGAAAGAAAATTAATGAATGTAATGAATCTTTAAAAAAAAAATGAATCTTAACCCACTGCTGCTAGGGATGGAATGTGTGCACAAGCCATGTCCACTGTGATTATTGTCTATGAGTTGTGCTTACACATAGATGGATCCTCAAGTGCTTAGCTGCAAAGGAGTCAATTATTAATCCTACCTATTTCACTTGTTTACATAGCATTACAAATAAAAACTTTGAAAACTCATGGAGAGCAGAAATCAGGTGAGTTCACGTAAGCTTACAAACTGACTCCTTGGTGACTAAGCGCTTGTGAAGCCAGCTGCGTGTAACAATGATCACAAAGCCCACTGGGTTTAGTAATATCTAATAAATAAGCCATGGGAAATTGTTTTCATACTGATACTATATAATTAAAAGTTTGTACACTATAATTAATGCAATATACAAGGGAGGTGACATAGAAACTATTTGACATATTAAAGAGAATTCTATTGCAAATACAGATTTAACTCCAAATACTACTACTAATAATCACACTATTCAGATAAGTAATCAAAATATTGATAATAATAGTAACATTACTAAACCACCAGTAATAACAAAAAATCAATAATGATAGGGAAAAAAAAAAAAAAATGAATCTTAACCCACTGCTGCTAGGGATGGAATGTGTGCACAAGCCATGTCCACTGTGATTATTGTCTATGAGTTGTGCTTACACATAGATGGATCCTCAAGTGCTTAGCTGCAAAGGAGTCAATTATTAATCCTACCTATTTCACTTGTTTACCCTTTTTCTTGATTTTCTGAATGATTCTTTTGGTATTGTTGATATCTTTACAATAATCTTAATGTCATTGTATTGATATTAATAGCATTACAAATAAAAACTTTGAAAACTCATGGAGAGCAGAAATCAGGTGAGTTCACGTAAGCTTACAAACTGACTCCTTGGTGACTAAGCGCTTGTGAAGCCAGCTGCGTGTAACAATGATCACAAAGCCCACTGGGTTTAGTAATATCTAATAAATAAGCCATGGGAAATTGTTTTCATACTGATACTATATAATTAAAAGTTTGTACACTATAATTAATGCAATATACAAGGGAGGTGACATAGAAACTATTTGACATATTAAAGAGAATTCTATTGCAAATACAGATTTAACTCCAAATACTACTACTAATAATCACACTATTCAGATAAGTAATCAAAATATTGATAATAATAGTAACATTACTAAACCACCAGTAATAACAAAAAATCAATAATGATAGGGAAAAAAAAAAAAAAAAAAAAAAAAATACAAACTATAACAATGATAAAAGACAATTATGCATCGCTGAAATACGGAGACAAATACAGACAAGATATTTACCCGATTTCAAGCCACAACTCTGAGTTTCTGTCTCTGAATCATTGCTCTGATTCATAGAGACCTTGCTCTCCGTCTCATCGCTATCCACAGCTGTTTCTGTTCGCTTCCATACCTCTTCGTCACAAGCTGAAAATTGGGTGCAGGGTGTAAATAAATCTATCTAAATGGCACTCGTGTGTCATTCTGTTTGTAAGTATAATTCAAATGCCATATGTAAAGGACAAAAAGGCAAAAAAATCTAGAAAAAAAAACAACAAAAAAACAACAACTTAAGAACCACACACTTTCAGCAATAATTCAATCACACTCACACGCACATGCACACACACACACAGAGTGTTCTTAAACCACATGAAAATACCTAAATAGAAACTTATACCGTATCAAAAATTTGCATAGTCTGCATGGTGCCAACACAGTGGCAAATATATATGCTGCTGGCAGTACACTGGTTAAACAATACATTTTAGTGTAATTACCTTCAGCCATCAGTCTATCCACATATTCTAGAGTAAGTGGGTGTTCTGGGCACACCCTAGTTATCTCCTGAAAAAGAAAGAAAGAAAATTAAATGATAAAAAAAAGACAGATAGTGATGGAGAAAGAGACACAGATAGATAGATAGATAGATAGAGAGGGAAGATGGGAGCAAGGGTAAGAGGGAATGAGAAAGAAAGAAAGAGAGGGAGAGGGAGTGAGTGAGGGAGGGATGGAGGGAGAGAGATAGAGATAGAGAGAGAAACAGAGAGACAGAGAGAGAAATGAGACACACATACCTTTATTATCAAAACAAACAAGTAAATAACTTCAGTAACTTTTATGATGTTGTCCTCTTAAGAAAATAAACACTAAAATGGCAGAGAATGCAAACCAGAAACTCTACTCTGCTTATGAATAATTAAACTGCAAATATCCAGTATAACATACCTTCAGTGCAGACATCTGAGTCTCATCACTGTTAGGCACAAAAGTTCTAAGAAAATTATAAACTAAGTGTTGGGCTGGCAAATGTTGAAGGTTTTTGCTGACATAGTCCTGCAGTACTGCGAGTGCTGACTCTGGGCCACGCAACTCATTCTCCAGGTCTAAGTAAGGTACTATGATCCACTCTACCTGCAAAAAAGAAAAAGGAGGTTGAGATTCATAAAGGTAATGGTTAACTGTGCATTGAATACACAAAATGCCAGAGTTCTGTCTACTGCAGAATGATCCAACTTCCTGATCAAGGAACAAGCGATCTTGGGGAAAGAGAGTCAAGTAACAAGTAACCATATGAACTTGAAGTAATGGGAGAGACTGTGACAAAGGGCAAATCTAACTGTTTAGTATATAATTAACAGAGTAATATTAAGCTTAATTTCTGCATTGATATTTCTCCATTCATTAATACTTACCAGAATAAGTCTCTAATTCTGTATAAATTAATCACTCTATCTCAGATAAACTTTATTGTCTGGCCTGAGCAAGATATATTTTTTATCAAACAAACTATACTTTTTAGACAATACACATAACAACTACTGTGACTGGAGCTCTTTGAAGGTCAGAATGCCAATGTTGAAAAGTGGTTATAAGGCCAAAAGCAAAGTTCTCTGAAAATGTTTTTTACATTCACCATCAGGAGGATTTTTTAATACAATATTTCATAATACTGGAATCTGGCAAAAAGTATAATACAAGATCTCTGCACAAATTTTAACTAACAAAGTCACTCTCCAAAATAAGGATATAAAACAATTATTTGCTGAATATATGTGTAGTGTTAGCTTTGACAAAGTCAAGGCCTTATTCTATCCTGGATATGTATTTGATTTGAAACAAGAGGTTTATTTACATACTGCATAAAAAAAAAAAACAACAGAGAACTATTACCTGATTTTAAATATGTGCTAATAGTACCAATGCATATAGCAAATAACAATTTCCTGCTTAATAAAACTTACTGGCTCAGCAAGGTTACACAAAGCTCTTCTTAATGCTGAATGTGCTTTATTAACCAATCCTCTGTTGCTATCTTTGCCTCCATCTTCATTCTCTGCAAGTGAAATACATCTGATCAAAAGGACTACTCTACAAAGACAGTATCAAAGTTAGATGACATGGACTGGTCTCTGGATGTAGATTTCAGCTAGTTCATGAGGGAATATCTTAATCAGTTTATGTGATTTTTTTTTTGAATGAGTCAAATAGAGAGTCATGTGAATAGCAGTGTGGGAGAAACGTGAGAGGAAAGTTCCTTTAAGAGTCCTGTGGGGAGATTTAGGCACACTAGACTCAGGCATTAGGTTGCAAATCCTATACCAGTCCCAGGGTTGGGAAGCAAATTGTTTGTTCTATAACTGGTAACAAACGTCTGTGGTATAGTGCAGAGCAGACATAGAAGTTTTAACATTTATGTACTATTTTTGGGATAATCAAGATGGACCATAATCTTACTAAAATCTAAGTAGAGGTAAGTAATAAATAGGGTATATAAGCATGAGTGTTTCCTACACCTTTCTTATACACTATAGGGATCTCCCTAGACTAAACAGGATTACACTTACAATCTACAGGGGGTACATGTAATGAGGGAATTACTAAACAGAACCTCACTACACATACACTTATAGACAGGGCATTTGTTCACTTTACAAAATAGAAACATTACTGCTAAGAGACTAAGGGTCAGAGAAAATGGAGTTATAATGACAAAAAAATGTATATATAACAGAGCCTGATAGTATGAACTATGGGAGTTCATATAATTTCACTTACATACTTTTAACCCCAAAAATAGTGGCAATGAAGGCAGGTAAAAGTAATAGGAAATAACCAGTGCCTCATGTGACACTACACTTTCAAAATTCTACTTGATGGAATATTTTTTTTTTTTACTGCAATTGTTGTAACATTAATGAGAGTTCCTCTTTCTTATTTTTTCAAATCAAGGAATGGGTAAAATGTAAGATCAGGGAAGACAAACAAGTAACTCTTTAGTGACCAAGTACTTGTTAAGCCAAGTGTGTATATTCAAAATTAGTGAAACAAAACCACAGTGGACTGTCTAGCACTAATGGATCAAAACAAATTACAAGAGAAGAAGAAGAAGAAGAAGAAGAAGAAGAAGAAGAAGAAGAAAAAGAAGAAGAAGACGAGGAGGAAGATGAAGAGGAAGAAGAAGAAGAAGAAGAAGAAGAAGAAGAAGAAGAAGAAAAGGAAGAAGAAAATGAAGGAGAAGAAGAAAATGAAGAAGAAGAAGAAGAAAAGAAGAAGAGGAAGAAGAAAAAAAAGAAAAGAAAAAGAAGTAAAAGAAAAGGAAAAAGAAAGGAAAAAAAAAAAAAAAAAAAAAAAAAAAAAAAAAAAAAAAATCACCTTCATCTGACATATTTTCCAAAAGGCCTGTAATTTTCTCTTGTACAGCAGAGGAGTCTTGATTGGAGTAAGTGTGATTTTTCCAGCGAGAATAAAGCACAAGGCCTCTGTAAGCGTCAATCAATGCAGTCAAGCGAACATCTTTATTCTTCACTGACCACTTTTCTGATCTTCTGTCATTCTTGTAATCTTCCAACATCTGTAAAAAAAAATTCAAAATATCTTAACCCATTGCTGCCAGGGAAAATGAACAAAAAATGGGGAAAATGCTGTGCCTATTTTCTACATTCTTTTGTGAAATGTCTGGCCATAGATGGCTCTATTAGAGCCTGATTTGAAATGACAGGAAAAACGTATTTTTCACTAGTGCCATGAATATCGATGGTGTTATTTTTATCATAAACATTATAATTTCTAAAGGGTTTTTTAACATTAGTAACAGCAAAATATGATAAGGTAAAATATTTCATAAATCAAAGAAAAGGGTGAATGGGCGAGACAGGCGGTACTCGTAACTGGCTCATTGGTGATTTAGTACAAGTGTAGCCATCTATGTGTGTAAACAATCTAACAAGTAAATTCACAGTGGGCATGGCATGGCATGCCCGGAGGGAATGGGTTAATGTTACACGATGAACTGTAGATTAAAATGGCAGTTCAACAAACTAAAACTCATTTCTATAAGTATGTGTGGTCTTATGAGAGAGAGAGAGAGAGAGAGAGAGAGAGAGAGAGAGAGAGAGAGAGAGAGAGAGAGAGAGAGAGAGAGAGAGAGAGAGAGAGAGAGATGAGAGAGCGATAGAAAAAGAAAGAGAGAGAAAGAAAGAGAGAAAGAGAGAAAGAGAGAAAGTGAGAAAAAGAGAATGTGAGAAAAAGAGAAAGAGAGAAAAAGAGAAAGAGAGAAAAAGAGAAAAAGAGAAAAAGAGAAAAAGAGAAAAGGAGAAACAGAGAAAGAGAGTGAGTGAGTGAGTGAGTGAGTGAGTGTGTGTGTGCACACATGTGCATATGAAAGCAAGAGAGTGTGGATGTGTGCATATGTAAACTTTTCCAATACATATATGATCAATTGACACAGGGAGGGCATGAAAATACATGCCCAATCCCACCATGATTTTGTTTATACATATATGGCTCCAGATGCATTAGATCATCAAAAAGTCAACCATCATGCCTACCTGATCTCATCTATTTTACCCTTTCCTTCATTTATAGAAAAAAATTCTTAATTACTATTAGCATGATTAATAACTTTTTTTCAGGTACTGTGTGGAGAAACAACTACCTGGTACCTCTTTCCCAAAAATAATTTATTTCACCTGTTTATTTCATGGTTTGCTCTTATCATATATACTCTCTCTCTCTCTCTCTCTCTCTCTCTCTCTCTCTCTCTCTCTCTCTCTCTCTCTCTCTCTCTCTCTCTCTCTCTCTCTCCCTCTCTCTCTCCCTCTCACTCTCTCTCTCACTCTCTCACTCTCACTCACCTGTCAAGATAGAAATTACCTAATTCTACTTTAAATGACAGTGGTCTTGAAACTGCATTCAGAAGTACTGTACATATATCTAGCAGTTGGTATTGGTTAATGTGAGCAAATATCCAATAACTTAAACCAATTCAAAACTCACATACCTGTAGGATTTCATCGATTCTTTCATCTGTTGCAGTCTCAAGTTCTTCAGCCAAAGTGTCCAGTACAACGACAATTGTTTTCGTAGGCAACAGCAAAAAGTCTCGACTCATGCTTTTTCTCATGCCTTCAGGGACTTCCTTAGCACTTTTTGTGATTATGTTCATCATCTGTAAGCATAAATATATAGCCCCGTATGAAAAATGATATTGAGCACTTTTCAATAAGCATGAATCTAAGAAAGAAAAACTTCAATAGAGGAAAAAAAATAATAATACTAATGAAATAAATAAATAAATAGATAAAAATATAAATAATTAAATAAACAATAATAAGGTACTTTTTTCAGAATACTAATATTATTTAAATACATGTAACTTACAATCTCATATCTATGTGATTACATTAATTCCTGTCAAGCTTTATTGGTGATGCCTGTCCTAAATTACTAACAAAGTAAGGTCGATTACAATATCAACACTATCACAATTCCAACACTTTTTTCATAAATATACTCACAGCTAGTCAGTGATTACTGATTACATCTTTAACTAAGAGATGTAAATGAATGTTACATAAATCAAAAAAGAACAATGTTAGAATTATCACTCTCAGTACTCATGACAAAAGTTCACATCACTACTGAATAACATTTTTTTCTTTAAAGGTGCTAGTTCTCATTATAAGATCTTCATTTTGTATGTAAAGCTCACCCTCCACAAGAAGTCTGAAGATACATTATAACACCGATGAAGGATGAGACAAGGCAGCAGTTTAAAGGCATCTTCCCATCGGTGTTCTCCTACAGCTGAATTAAGTGCTGACTGTAACCACCTGTAGTAGTTGTGATTCAAGTCACCGCTGTCACCTGCACCATAAAGCATAAGTTAGTTTGACTGATCATTCAAGTATTACTAAATAATTATAAGATCATATATTTACATCATCTGCATCTTTCTTTATCTAAATATGTGAATATTGATAAAGCTTTCTGCATGACAATAACAGAATGAACTCTGATTGTTGTCAATTTATTTTTAGCATTTTTTTGTACTCAATATCATGGCAGTGCTAAGATGCAGCAAACCTATAAAAATCAGAAATATGTATGAACAGCATTGCATAATAATAAATATCTGGACAAATAAAAGATACTTGGAGCACCCTAGTATCTTTTACAAAGCTATTGAACATACAAGGCACATAGAATAAGGCTTCATCTAAAATTGCCTAAAATGAAGCTTCAATTAACAGCAACACATCTTACCATAAGCTTAAAAGAAAGGATGATCATGACCATTCATTTATTCAAGCAACATACATAACCTCTTTACCTTTACTTTGCTCCCAAGCTTTAGCTGACTTGTTTTTGGAGGGTTCTACTTGGTTCTGCAAATCGAAGATTTGTCATTAAACTTCCAGATATAATGCATGTTTCAATTCAAGCTTCTATAGGGTAATTACAGGGAAAACACATTTTAAAAAATATATGTATTATCCAAACATCACTCTAGCATTTGCTTTTTTTGCTATAGGATATATTATTTCTATATATATTAATAGGATAAGTCATTTTCTAAGTCAAGGCCACATCTTAAAACCTATCCAATTTGATACCAGTGAACTCCTTTTGAAATATAATGAGAATAGTAAGCAGAATCAATAAATATGCTCAGTATGAATTCCAAATCTCCCATAACTAAGCAGAGTAACTTAGAACAAGGCTAAGTAAACATCACAGAATGTTTACTTGTGCCTCAGATAGGTAATGACATCAGGCATAAAGCTTGTCACTCCTAACAGTTTAAACTCTATCTTGCTAGCCAGAGATGGCTTAGATTTTATATTCTACCCAAGAGGTTCTGGGAAGGAGGGATGGTAGATACCTATAAAGGGGTTTTAGGGGGCACAACACCTAACAATGACAACTATACATAACAAGGAAGGATATTACCCCATCATTTCCCAGTGATACCTCCCCACATGTGGGATCTTGTGTCATCCCTATTGTTGCTTAGTGCTGATTTAAAACACTATAAAAGCTTGACTTTATAAGGAATCCACCAATACTAAAATTAATGAATTTCATGATGCAGAGTGGTTATAGAAAATTACAAATATTTTTTGTGAATCAACCATGAGGAATGTACTGTAGGTATAAACATGAAATAAGCATCTACATTTCAACTTTTAATACTCCTGTGATAGCAAATTATCTAATGAGGAATTATTTAATAAAAGAATCCTTATACATTTTCAGAAGGAATAATAATAATAATAATAATAATAATAATAATAATAATAATAATAATAATAATAATAATTAGAGAGTGAGAGTGAGAGAGAGAGAGAGAGAGAGAGAGAGAGAGAGAGAGAGAGAGAGAGAGAGAGAGAGAGAGAGAGAGAGAGAGAGAGAGAGAGAGAGAGAGAGAGAGAGAGAGAGAGAGAACTTTAGTATATTTTTACTGAATGGTTATGTGCCCTTTCCTGCACAAATTGAATAAAACCATATATACTGGGTGGAGAAGGTGGTATTTCTAACTGAAAAGCTGAAAGTTTGAAGAGAAAATAAACATCTGATTTGTTTAAATCATACCAAACCAGAAAAGTTTCACGGAAAAGATTTAGAATTTTAAATCTTACCAGTGAAAGTTATGTTGTTGTAGACAAAAAAATTACCAGACGTTTTCTGACATATTATTGTTCCCTTCCCTAATTCAAGATCATAAACATTGGCGGAAAAATTCCACAAAACCTTCACATAACCGACTGCAACGATTTTAGTATAAATGGATTTCTCTCACTCTATAGTACATATATATGTAGGAATTATGCCGCGGCATGTCTGCTAAACCTAGACATCCTTGGCCCTGATAGCAGGGGAGGGCATGAAAGGTTCCAAGGGAAATTGTGGGATATAATATGAATTATATACACAGAATCAGTCATTATAATATCTAATGCAGGAGGCTGTGTCCTTGCGACCACTCCACAGATGGCTGCTGAGTAAACCCCACCCAGGAAAACAAAGAATCCTCCACTTATTCATCGCAAGAGAAAGCGTTGGACAGACTCGGCATCAGGCGCTCCCACATGTTGGTCATATGCTGTGAATATGTGGAGGATTCTATGTTTTCTTGGGTGAGAGTTGGGGGACAGCAGGGGGTTACAGGGGACACAGCCCCCTCTAATGCACAATATAGTGACTGATTCTCTGTATGTTATTCATATTCTATCCTGCAATTTCCCTGGTACCTTTCATGCTCTCCTCTGCTATTTGGACCATGACTGTCACTAATAGAAGGGGGGGGTTCTGTGGTATAATTCTGATGTATTTAGATAGTAGAGTGAGAGGAAAAAATCCTTGCGATTGGTTGTGGAATATTCTGAAAAATTACAAGATTGGACATTAAAAATAATTGTAAAATTACTAAACACAGAGAGTATATTTTCGTAAGCAACAGCACCAACAGTGCTAAACAAATGATAAAGCTTTTTAACATATGAATTACTTTTAATCCTTTTTTTTCGCACTTAGTTTTCATCGCAGTAAAACACCTGTATCCTTATTACACCTTTCCCTTTAATAATATATGGCTACCACGGTCTTTTGGAAATTTTACTTCAAATTCTTATGTTTTTAAATCTCAGTACACATGACAGCAACACTGATATACCGTCATTTCAACATTATACCTTCCCGCTTTACACAACATAACCATAATCGTTAATCCCATCCAAACTAAACATTTGAAAAAAAACAAAACCTTTTCCAAACTTTACACTACGAAACTTCCTCTTATATACACACACATATATAAAAATTACCATAGACTTTGACGACTTTTTCTTTGTGACTCCACCTCGTTCCCCCATCTTGCCCTGTGTCCCTCGAGCTCCAGAAAACTACGAAAAGGGGATTAAAAGCTCAAAATAACGCATTGAGGGTTGAAAGGAGGACTCCATGTGCGCGTCCGGTGAGCACGATACAACACGTCGAACAGCTGATGTCCCGGAGCCTTATGTACGGGTTGTGTTGTGGACGCTCGCAACCTCCTTATTGAAAACTTGCAATATTTAGGGGGGAAAGGGGTGTCATTTTATTTTATTTATGTACGGGTTGTGTTGTGGACGTTCGGAACCTCCTTATTGAAAACTTGCAATTTAGGGGGGAGGGGAGGGGGTGTCATTTTATTGGACGCTCGCAACATCCTTATTGAAAACTTGTAATATTTTTGAGGGGAGGGGAGGGGGTCATTTTATTGCAGATCGCTTGAAAATTTTCGAGATTATATACTTCGATGTAATAGAGTTGTGATATAGTTGTAGTATAGATATAGTATAGTTCGATATATAGAGTTCGATATAATATAATTTCGATATAATGGTCTTAACTTTTGATGAGTTCAAATCATGAATGGATGATTGATGGAAAGCGGTTGAACAGAACAAAAAGTATATATTTATATATATTCGTTGTGGACACCGTTACTTCGCTACAGTTGCCAGTCGTATGGGGAAAATGTTGCGGATAGTTTAATTTAAATTCTTGATTTTGAAAATCTCGAAACACAACAGTTCAAATATTTTTTATATGGAAAAAACAGGACTTTTTTAGGGGGGGGCTGACTCACTCTCAACTAGATAGGATTTGTCTTTTTTTTTACGTATAATTTGGGAGGAAAACTAAATCTACACAAGAAATGGCAATCATCAATGGCTTTTGTGTCCTGTAGAGAAGCCGACAAGATTTAGCACAGAATACGAGTATTACAAGTTCTCGTGCGATTATGTCTCTTAAAAATGGAAATTAAAGTTACCTAAGTGAACAAAAGTAGATGCTATCAAAATCAGTGAAAAGGTTATAATAAAACCTTTTGGGAAACGTTAATCATTGAAATTATATGATATTTGATCTCTATTATATCAACCGTTTTTCTGTCTGTAAAATGCGCATACTCATAGTATCACAGACTACTTTTAACATTAGCTAAATAGTTGTATTAAGAATGTAAAAGAATCACATTCTTTCTTATGTTTTCGGAAACATAAATGAAAGAGCGCGGTTTTATTTTCAGGTTAAACCATGTTTTTAAATACAAACCACATGTTTTATTTTTCCCTTGTGTACACGTATATATATATATATATATATATATATATATATATATATATATATATATATATATATATATATATATACATATATATATAATAATAATAATAATAATAATAATAATAATAATAACAATAATAATAATAATAATTTCCTGTTTAATGAGAGGAATTGGCTTCGCAACAACACGGTTTTGCGTCCCTCTTACTAGTGACTGATGTATATTTGATATGTTATCACTGAAGACTAGAAAAACATGCTCATAATATTATAATTGAAAACGATTATGAATTGTAATATATCAACAGTATATTACAATCCACTGTAGGTTTAGAACACTATTGTTCTATAGAAATTTCAATCATGATGCATGGTTATTTTACTTAAGGAAGGTTTTCACTCACCCCTACTCATACTGCCAGTAGTAATTAGGTATGCAGTCACCACATGGGGATAGCAACTCCAATTCAAAGATCCAACATAGAGCCTCAGACATTAGATCCACGTAAAGCTCATAATTGTCATTTTTCTTAAGAGGCCATATTCATTTATATGCATTTATGTATATTGGCATGAGTATGATTTTTGGCAACCACGGTTCATATAAACTTTCAAAGTCTTACATTGGAACTGAAATTGATTGATAAAGTTACGTCTTGAATTTTGGTGATATGACTATGATAATTGTTGATGGCTGTCATTTTCATTATGATTATCATCATTATTATTACTGACATTAGGCCTGATGTCTTTATTTAAGTATATTAGAAGAGGGTTAATAAAAGAGGGTTTTA